GCCTTGGAGGCTAAAATTGGGCTCACCCTTGGTGTTGGGCTTTGGGGTGTAATAATTAATATACAATTAATTACGAATTTAATTAATTAATTGTTTTTTTATTATTACCAACATGAAGAGTTCAGAAAAAACGCAGAGCAAAGCACCATTCTGAAGAGATGTCTCCCAACAATCACACCTCATTCTCATACCTGTTGCGAACAAGCATAATCCCATTATATATACATTCATCTGCATGACATTTAGAACATAGAAAATCAACATTCTTCTTCTACGATCATAAACATCATTTCTTTTCTGAGAGAACCACACAGAAATTCGCCAGAAGTCAATTTTCTGGTGTTGGAATTCCTGACTTAGATCGTTGAATCCTAGTGAAGCAGACGTCCGTAGAACTACAAGCACTGAGTAGGGACAAAATTTCTGTTTCAAGGACATTGCGGTACGCAAGCCTCAATCTTCAATTTTCTTGTTTAATATTATTTAATTGTTCATACTCTGTTCAATATTTATTAGTATTTATTATTTATTAGCATATATAAGTTTATCACAGATTGTTGATATATAACCAACACTAGTCTCCCAAATGGTCCAAATAAATTTGAGCTCAGGAGGGTGTGTGGAGGTCTGAGAAATGGAACTGAATCCTCTCCTAAGCTTAGGAAGATGATCCTCCTGATCAATACACGTGGGTCTTTTGATTTTTATCCAACAACTACAAATAGATGATTCCTTTAAAGTTATGATAATTATAACCATTGGATGAAAATCCAACGGTTCACGTGTGTTGGTTAGAAGAATCTTCTCCTTGGGATCAGGAGAGGATCCAATCCCCGAGAAATAGCCTTCAAATTCGGCTTTTCCATTTAAATTGCAACACCTGTTCCAACTTGGCATGCAACTTGTCGTTTTCTGGTTTGGGTACCTTATTCTGACATGGATAGTGAATGTGCCAAGTGACATGTCGCCCTTGGACCAAATCATCAAATAGTGCCCGCATATTCTTCTACATTATTTTTCTCATATTCTTCATCCTTCTGGTTTCTATCGATCGATCGACAGATTCTGATCAGGTCACATACTTGACATATACATATCCCTTCAATTTCATAACATTTGAGATTTACTTCTCACAAATGTAATTTTTGTCATGTTCTTCGTAAGTTAATTTTGTTGTAAATTGTAGAGTTGAGCTATTTTAAACTACATGAAAGTTTAAATAATAATATCGCTTGTAATAATATTAAAAAATAACTATGTGAGAAAGTTTAAATTCATTCCATTCATGAGATCGTCCTCAATTTTCAACATTAACCATATAATGTGATGAAGTTATCGTCATGTGTTTGTTTCTTCAAAAATTTTAATATATAGCTCCATGTGTTTTTCGTGCATAAACAAAATGATAGATAGTGTTCCGTTTTCATTGGTTAGAGCGGTCAAATTATTGTTCTATGTCCTTGTGTTGATCAATCTCCTCTTGTTCTTCTTGTTTTATATGAAACCACACATTTGTAGATTTTCTAGCACCAACAAGCATGTGTTTCTCTTTCTTTTTGCTCACACCAAAGTGTTACACACAATACATTCACCTACTAAATTTCTATTTAACTCTCATGTGTTATTTAATATAAATGATATTCTGTTTTTAATTTAACTCTATTGCGAGAGAATAATTTAAACCCAAATGTATAGAATACAAAACTTGCATTCTAGCTAATATGACGACGCCCACCCTTAAGTTAAACCTAATTGCAATGATTCCACACAAGAGAGAGAACATATAAGTAAAAGCTAGGGATTTGCCAACACCACGTAAGTGAGGTTAAACGACAAATTAGAGGAAGCACTTTAGAGTTGTCAAACTCCAACAACCACCCAATAAAGAAAGGCCCCCGACAACATTTGTCGCACGTGGAGTTTGACCCAAAGCCAAAATGTGTGTCAAACAAGCCTTTGTTTGGCAGGGGACCCTGCAGCTGCAGGTGCACTGCAGCCACTTTATTTTGAGAAAAATTAATAAAAATGATTTGAAAACTTTAGGTTTTAATGATAAAAACAAAATAAAGGGTAAAGTGAATAGTATCAGGATTAATTTTTTAGTGTAAAAATATGATTTTTCGTTAAACTGAACAATACCAAAAATTTTTCCTTAAAAATCCCTTTGTTTTGTGGTGCTCTCCATAAAATTAGATAATTGGCAACTCGTGGCACAACCTATGAGCACGCACATGCATTTCCATCTCTAATCTTCTAATTCCTTATCTTGTGACAAAGTTGACTGTTGATATCAATTATCATATTATCGCATAAGGTTAAATATCTTAGTAAATATAGTATTGGATTTTTGTACTTGCTTTCTGTTTCAAAACTTCTTAATCTTCTTAATTATTATAATAATTTCGAACTTTTTCCTCTTCTTTTAATAATTTTTAAAAAATAATAATTTTTTTAAAAAAAATAATATTTAAAAAAAATAATATTATCTACGCTCAGAGATTCTCTTAATAATATTAAATTTTAAAAAATATATATCACATTACCAAAGTTTTTGGGGACCCTTTTGTTATTTTGCCGCACGTGGCTTCTTGGTGGCAAAAGAAAAGGACCCCTAGGGTTTTGCTGTGCTTTGATGCTTCACTTGTTCCCAACCATTAATTGATGATTTAGGACCTGGTTGGCATTTCAGATCAAAAAAGGGTCTTGGTTGGCATAAGGACTCAAAAGGTTAATGTTATTAATCACTAAGGCAAAAATCGGAGGAAAGGACAAAAGAAAGATCGATGCCTACATTAAATCAATTGAGTCATCATGGTAGAGAAGAAAATTGGCGCACGTATCGTGCTCGAGCTTCGGATGAATGTACCCAGAAGCAAGGAGTATGCCCGCATGTTTCAACCTCCTAAACTATTGTTAGTGGCGGGTTCAAGAAACTTTCGTGTTAGAAGAGATGTCTAAACACCATTTTTTTCATTTATGCCTAACAATTCTAATGACTTACGCAACTCCATCCGTCCCTCTCACTCCTCTTGAATTACTTAACCCTTTCAAGACTTTTGTGAAACATCTTGCCCTCATGTCAGGAGCAATAAAAGAGAGCTTCCATGAAATTTCTGGAACATCATAGGTAGCAAAAAGGGTTGTCTCGTCACCAAAATCATCAAAATTTTATATTTGTATATGCTATATATAGATTTTTCCTTTACAACATTGCAGGTTCTGGCTTTATTCAAAGAAGGTAATCTTGCCACTCAATCATACGCCTAGCTAGGCTGCATATCCATGTTAGGAGCTTTCGCGACGAGATAGTCCCAGCAATGGTCTCTCTTTTAAGAAGATCATATGTGTATAATTGACGGAATTGAATGATCAAGGTATATATACTCGAGTGTGCTCCAAGGTCAATTGGAGAAAGTTTTGCTCACCCCATATCTTGAAGAAAGTTAAGATGAAGTTAGAAAATAGCACACATTACAAAAAAAATGAGCTTTGGGTATAATACAAAGGGCACAATTGAGAAGATTGTGTCTGTTTGACCATCAAAAAGCTTAAACAGTTCTCATTTCATAGAGGGCACCATCTATTGTGTCCAATGCTAAAAAAAGAAGACATAAAATAATAATGGGCACGGAAATCGTGCCAAATGGGGTCAAATGATAACTTTTTTTTACTGAAGATGGGCAAAAAAACTTTTTGTGTCTATAAAAATTGTTTGTCAGCAACACTTTATGTGTTTTTTCATTTGTCTTGACCTCTAGCGGACCAAAAAATTAAATTTATAAAATTGTGGTAAATAATGGTATGAAGCTGTTTATTACTGTGCAATGTTATAGCCTCAAAATATGTTAGCAATATTGTTGTTCAAAATCGTTTTGGGCGACAAATGAATCTCAGATCTGTCACTTACAAGTAAATAAGAATACCACTACACCGTAGTACTAAGTGACACATTTTATATTTACAATGGATCATTTCCATATGCAATGAATGTTTGTTAGATTCGTATCTTTTTGAACTGCTTTTTAGATTGTTAGCAGGTTTGTTTTGATACTTGGTGATATGGTTTTTGACATTATCATAATTGTTTATTTATTTTTTAATGTAATAAAAGTCCTTCTTGCAGTGACACATAACTAACAATTGTGCCCTTAGGGTCATCGGTCTTCATGCAAAAGTTGATCAGTCTTCAGATATACAAATGAGTCGATAATTATAAATTCCTTTTTTTGACACAAATATTAGAAATTGTGTCCAATCAAAATAATTAAATACTAAATCACTATACGTTCCATTAGGTCTTCAGATAGACAATATAGCTTAGTAATTAAAAATTATTTTTGACACAAATGTTTGAAATTGTGTCCAGTAAATATTAATAAATAATAAATCACTATATAGCAAATGAATATGTGGGCACAATTATGGATTTGTGCGTTTCTTCTTTGGTGGCTTTAGGGGCTGTATTCAATTGAGAATTTGAGAGATTTTAATAAATTTATAAATCCATGGATTTTTATGGAGTTCAATTGATTTGTAGAGATTCCGTATAAAATTTTGATTCAATTTCCTCGAAATCTCATGGAGAGAGGTGAGATTTGTGGATGCTTAAAATACACTACGAAATCTCTCCAATTCCCTCTAATTCTTCAACTTTCTCAAATTCTTTAAAATCAATTTCTAATTGAATACACCTTGAATGTTATAAACTTCTTTAAAATCTTAATTGAATACACCTAGATTTCTAAGGATTTTAATAAATTATCTTAAAATTCTAATTGAATACATCTTGAATTTTAGAGAATCACTTAAAATTCTGATTGAATACCCCTAGATTCATTAAAAGAATTAAAATCTCTCAAAATCCCAATTGAATACACTTAGCAATGGAATTTTTTTATTAATTTGCAATGACACTATTATTGTAATTGTGTCCTACAATTTAATGTATTTAAAGCAAAGGTAGTTTTCTTGTGCCCTTTGTTTAAAATAATGTCTTAAACAAAACACTTTCCTCAATCTTCACGCCTCACTCTCTCCTCATTTCCTTGATTCCGCATCTCTGTGTTTCCCCATTCAAACCCAACCTCTCCTTAATTCCTCCGCCTCTCCTCTCTCTCTGGCTCTCATTTTCCCAATCGAACCGAGCCTCTCTTCAACCTTAGGCTCTCTCTCTCTTTCTATATTTTTCCAAAATTTTGCTATTTCCCTCTCTCTCTGTCTCTCTAGCCTCTCATCTCAATTCTCAAGTCATGCAAAAACAGAATTTGCAAATCCTTCCCCTTCAAATCTCACACACACTGCAAATAGGTGGGTCTCAACTCAAGTCTTTAGTCCAGTTCACACATTCTCATAGACTCTGCAAATCCCTCTCCTTCACACATAATTTGCAAATCAGTCGGCCTCAACTCTTATCTCATCCATAGTTCCCCTTCAGTTCAGTGCCTGCATAATGTGATTCCTTCCTCTCCACTTCGTTCCAGGTAAAATGGTAACAATTTAGAACTTGTAATGCTTAATTTAGTTAATAATTTGTGATTAATTTTAGGGTTAGGGTTCGTTTGAAACACAAGGCAACTGTGCTTTTTTCTCTTTTGGGCTATAATCAAAAGGGGATTTTATCTGGTTCAGATTCAAACAGACCCATTTTTGCTTCGAATGGAAAGTGACCTGTTGTCACTTCAAATAGGTTTAGACTGGAAGGTGATTGGCTATTTTTATGAATTAACAAATATTGAGTTGTATATGTACTAATTAATTTATTAGCCAATGGTATATTTGGCTTTGGAAAGCTGCTATTCAGTTTGAAGCTTCTATATGTGACATGGTTTTTCGTATTTTTTACTATGCATTTGAGGGTTTCTTGTTTCTTGATGTTACTTGGTTGATATAAGCGGCACGGATGATTACTGGAAGAGGCAAGATGCAGCACAAGTTATGGCTCTAGTTAAGTAGACAACTACCAATTTCAATCATTTGAGCAAGTCATTGATACGTCCTACTGTTAGTTTTTTTTAATAAATACTTTTCCTCCCTTCGTAATGTTTTTGGTCCCCGAGCTTATAAAGTTTAACAGAACAAACAACTCATGAGAATAAATTGGTGGCAATTTTTGTGCTTGCAGTTAGTTTGGGAAGGACTTGGGCTTGAAGGGGGAGCAGCTGTTGGAAACTGGAACGGGTATATTGATTTTCATGAAAAGCTCATGTCTTTGTTTTCACTTTTAACCAAAGTTTGATACTTCTCTAACTTCATTTTTTATATTATTGGCGCTCTAGGGAGAAGGATAAGAATAAAGTTCTTCTTGGATTAGGCGGTGGACATTATGCTCCTCGGCATATAGATATTGTTCTGTAAGTTATAGTCACCTTACAGTTCATCCATTTTCTTTCAAATATATAGCATTGATTTCTTAGTGGCAATGTGGCATGGCATCCAGCTTTATTCTTTGTTTCCTTCTGTGTGCGGTTTGATGCATAACTTATTAACTGTAAACTGAACCTCTTTATTTTGATTGATCCTGTCAAAGTAAATATGGTAAATAAGTCTGCTATAAACGAATGGGATTACTAGACTGTAGATGATACTTTCTTCATCCCGTTCAGAACTTTGAGCTTTTGCTTCCTCCTTCCTTTTCTCTGTCTCTGCAGCTTCTGTAACACCCATAAGTCCCGCATTACCCTCCCAGCCCCTTCTTGCTTCCTCTTCCATCTCTATCAAATGAACTGGCATTGATAGTACTTTGATCTGTTATTGTCAAATTGCTCTGGTACTGGAAGTGGCAAATGATTTATTTGTTCAAGTCTCTTCCAAATTTTCTCCTAATCTTCCCTTTATAGTTAATTTTATTTCCAACTAGCTCTTGTATGCTCTCGTCAAATTGCTTGATATGATGTTGTTAACTTCCAACTAGCTTTCAACTTTGGCAAACTATATGTAAGCTATAAGAAAGCTAGTATTTAGCAACTGTAAGAATCCAGCTACAATTCATTGTTGTGACTTATGAAATTCCTATTACCTTACTCTTGCTAAGGGTGTTGATATCATATATATTCATTTGTTTCCTTAATTTGAAGTTTTATTTTTAATGGGTTAAACAAATAATGATGAGAATTGAATTTTTAAGTAAAGTACTTGTTTGGCGTGTTTGTGGTGTTATAGGAAGCAGGGTCTCAGATAAATTTGTAGAACATTAATTGAAAGGAAGATGGGTTAAGCGTTTATGGTTTTTGTAATTCCAAATTTCAAATTTGTTTTATTCTATTTCTGAATATGTAGTTTTAACATTTTTGAGGGTACAATGCATGTTAATTCTAAGAAGAGGAGATTTGAATTTGTAAAGTGCAGGTCTCCAACTGCTCCGCTCTCTTAGTGTAAGTACATCTCTGCATATCTTTATTTCCTCAATTATATTTGACTTTGTTATGTTGGGTTCCCAAATTAAAGATCTTATACAATCTTTTTGTAGCTTTCTAAAGTTTGGAATTTTCTTGATATGTGCTTACATGGTGCTTAACTTGGTTTGTGCTTACTTTCCGTTTCATGGTTGTAGGCTGTTTTCATTTTATGAAAATTTAAATTTTTGCATTTCCTCAATTCAGTTTTAGTTTTTTAAATTTTGATTTTTTTTAATATTTATTTCTTGCTGGCACAATTATAATGTAAGTGTCAATATGGCTGGAAAAGGTCTTTTGATAAAGTAGTCAGAAACAGGCACAAATAGTGGTCTGCCTGTTTGAGCACCAAACAGTGTATTGTGCCCTTTTAGTAAAGGTGACGCCCATAGAGGGCACAAATACAAATATAGTTGCTGCACTGTTGCTATTGGTCTATGGGCACATATGTTGGTGCTCTTTGGCCTCAAAGAGCACATATAATTTATTGTGCGCAGTGCTCATCTTTTTTGTAGTGATGAGGCTTTCCAATGCTACCATTGCTTTAGAGAAATAAAGTGAACAATTCAGAAAGCTCTTTTGATATATTCCAGATGTTAATTTATGCGCAGTATTACTGAAACTTACAGGTCTACTGGGGCAACTTGTTTAGATTTCTAAATTTTCAGACTTTAACAGAAGTTCGTTAACGTTGTACTGGCAATGTTTCGTTAGTTGATTTTCGAACGTTGTTGTTTCAATGTTTCCATGTTCCATTGTGGATCAGTATGTCCATGGAGCATATGCGAATTAGGCAGTTGATCAGAGGACTGTGCTCTCCCTTTACACTCAAGTTTGAATTTTCTTAATTACCGTAGAGATGAAAGGTTTTGTATAACCTTGTGTATCAGACTTTCTACAAGTTGTTCCAAAGTCGAAGCTTTCAATTTCTACATTCTACGAAAACACGGGCGCTAAATACTGTTTAAGATAGGGATCTTGGGATCACAAGTTCAACTCAAGGTGTTAACATCATCACATACAACCAATCAATGTAATGTCAGCATCAAATTAAGACCTTGACTGCTTTCCCTCGCCATATATGTTGGATTCACGTAAATCATCACCTAGAAACTCCTTCAGAGACTGATTGACTTTAACTAATTAAGCTGAAAAATGGGGGTATGCATCTGTAATTCTCGCCGCTAAACTTTTTAATCTGTCGGACACTTACTAGTTGCAAAGACACATGAGTTGGTCATGTCAAAATTGCATTTCTTGAATTCATTTTATGCACATTCTTGCATTCCAAAAAATGGCGAAAATGTTAATTATTACGTTTTTCAAACTCCAGATTAATACAATGTATTTTCTTCATAATCTGACTTTCCATTGCCCTATGCATATGGAGAAGGAGTCTTTAATTACCGTTCATTACCAAGAGGATAGGAATGGGCTGGATTAACATGATCATCAAAAACCTGTGTGGGATTTGATATCAAGACTCAATCAAGCTAATCAAAATTATTAAGTGATTTTCATTTCATAAGAAAAAGGGCAAGTCTTGGCCCAACGGAAAGTTTACTCTTTTGGGACTGAAATGTCACGGGTTTGAGTCATGAAAACATTCTATTTGCAAAGTAAGGGTAAAGCTGTCTATGATAGACATTTCCTCCCGACCCTCGCAAAGCAGGGCACCTTGTGGGCTTGTGTTCGTCCTTTTTTTCATTTCATATGAAGGATAGGCATAAAAAAAAGACTGGAATCTTAGAGTGTCCTTCCAGTATTCTATACATATCAAATTCATTATGTAATTAAGTTTTAATAAATTCATATGATCATCAAATAACTCTATGTCACCAGTTAAGTCCCATCAATTTCGTCCCGATACCATGTAACAAAATAAGTTCCAATAAATCCACGAATTAAACTCAAGGGTCTCAGCCTCTATATATATACAAACATGCATCTTTTTGTTTACGTTGGTTTTTTTTTTTTTATTTTTTTTTATTTTTTTTTTTTAATTTCAAAATGATCCCTTATCATGTCCTATCAAAAATGCGTCCCTACGAAGTTTAAGTTCACGGTGTTAAAGTAACGGTTAGTGTAGTGTCCGGAAATGCTCGTTTGATTGATGAAAAAATATTATGGTTGAAGTCGCAGCTTGAACTTAAGTTTTCTAACATCTCTCTAAAAGCCAAAATGTTGCTTGTTTGTACTGACAGTCGTTGCTTGATTATCCCAAGGCTTGATGAGTTGCTCAAGCGTTCTTACCCAAAAGATATTTCTCAATCTGGACTCGGAAGGCTTCTTTCTGATCAGAGTGACTGTTTCGTCGGCACAAATATTAGTAGCTATATTAGCTGTATTAGTACTTCTGCACTGACAGATTTGATAAATAATACGGCAATTGAATTGGGTTACTTGGCGGCTATGGTGCTGAAGAAACCGAGTCTCCAAAAGAAAGGACTATATGAGTTGGCAGGTGAAATTGTTGTTGATGTTAAGCCATTGACTGGGGCTTTTCCCGACACGAATTCCGAAGTTTTTACCGAGGAAGAGATCAAGAATGCAGTTCATGATGTTCATGCTTCCTGTCTTGTTGGGAACAAGGTTCTGGGGATGGTTTAATTTTTTCATACTTGCTTTTTTGGCAAGATTATCTATCTGTATGCACTAGTCCTATTTCCAATAATCAGATCATGAGAAAAGGGAATAAGAACCTTTTGGATTGCTTGAATGCGGTTTTGTTTTATATATTCTCTCTGTTCTCCAACACTTATGATTTGTACTTTGGTTTGTTGCACTGAATTATCTTGAACTGGATTAAATTTAGAAATTAAACTAGACTAGTTTAGTTTAGATTAAACTAAAATAATTTAATGTAACGTTTGGTGCATTGTTGAACTAATAATAAAAATTAATTCTCTTTTTCTTTTTCTTCCTCCTTTTTCTAGGAAACTCCATTCTCTCGAAAACAAAGGGAATTATGAACATATATAAGATTATCTCTAACCATTGGGCTAAAAGCCAAATTTTTTAGTCCGGAAAATTTAGTTTTTAGCCTAGAAATAGTTTTTTGGGGCTTTTGGATCTAAGTCCAAAAACATAGGTAGTTTTTTAATTAAGTCCAGTTATCCAATTACATATTTTTATACCAATTTTGTCCTTTTAGATATAAAAATATTTAAATTCTTTACTTTTTGTATCATTTATTCAGTTTTTAATTTTGAATATTTAAATACTAACTAAAATATTATCTAGTAACCACCTAATGATGTTTACCTACAAAACTGATATAATTTAGTAACTACCTATTGTATAGGAAGAAAAATACTTTATACCAACAAAACATATGTAATCTACTGCAAAACAAAAATAAACTACCTATTGTATAGGAAGGAAAATGCTTTATACCTACAAAATAGATATAATCTACCAACAAAATAAAAATAAACTACCTATTGTATAGGAAGAAAAATGCTGAACCTCCATGGCAGAACATTAGAATAGAAATATGATATAATATACCTTCATTAAAGGAACAAATACTAAACAAAAAAAAGGAACAAATACTAAGTTTCAGTTTACCTTTATGATACGCACAAAAATATAATAGAGCAAATATAAATGCATGATACTGTATTATTGCTTGCAATTGATACTGTATTGCCGAACGAATATGTAAAAAAACTATGAAAGCTATGTAAAAACTGAGATTGTCATGAAGGAATTTGGAGGGAGGAACACAAAATATCACCCATGAAAGATGAGAGAAGAGGATGATTGATTCCATGATCTAACAAAGGGAATTGTTTAGAAGAAGAAAAAAAAAGGCGGGATAAAACAGACTGGGGGTTGAGATTTTATTGCTATAACTAATCCTACAATTAAGGGATTAGTTAAACCACAAATAATCATATAATTAAGAAATTTTGAATATTTACTACAATTTATAAGTCTAAGGGATAAATATGGTACAAATTATAATTAAGCTTACGTGGAATATCAATTATTGGACCTATTTCAATGCAGTGGACTAATTATAGTAATGGCTCACAAAATTGGATCTATATAAAATTATCCCTAGTTTTTTTGCTCTAACCCTTCTGATTTAAAATTTTAGCCCGATATTATTAAAGAATGAACTTAGGCTAATTTTTTTTTTAAATTAATTTAAAAAAAAAAATTATATAGACTATCGTAAATTAATTTTATGAACATTTTAATCTAAAAATATTTAAATTATGATAAATATTGAAAAATCACTAAATCTTTCCACAAAGCAAGCCTTCAACTTTTACCAAACTTTCAACTTTTACCAAACTTTCAACTTTTACCAACCGTTCAACTTTCACCTTTCACCAATCTTTCAACTTTCATCAAACTTTCAACTTTTACCAATCTTTCAACTTTCATCAATCATCCTCTATATAAACTATTTGGACCCAAATTTACATCATCGGCCCGTGTAATGAAGGCCGTTGAGTAAGCATAGCTCCCAACTATTGGATGGAAAGTGAAGATAATTTTGTTATTGTTAAAGGATAATATTATGATTTTTATCATAATAATTATCTTTTAATATGAATTATCCTAGCATCTTTTTCAACCAGATAAATAGGGTGCGAATTATATCCCAAAGCAAGTGGTACAGTTTAAATTGAGTTGGGATGTGTGTGAACGTGTGGATTGGATATGCTGCAAGATGATATTAAAAATGATGGTTTTGGGTGATGAAGAGACACGCCTAGAAAAGCTAGGTTTTTTGGTGGTGGTATAATGATGACCTAGGAAGCCTAGGTAGGCTAGGCTTTTCTTGTTTTTTGCATGGTGATGGAAATATGAGTTTTTGTTAAAGGTTTTTAATGAGATCAGAAGCCTAGGTGGGCTAGGTTTCTGATGTGATGTGATAAAACCTAGATAGGTTGTCGCTTATCTAACTGACGAGTTTGAAAAGTCAAGGAACAAAATCAATTTGAAGGATATGCTTCAGTTCCACAAATTAGGATTGCAGTGGGACTCTACAAAATTATCTGGCCGCGCCACACAACATTTTCCTATAAATACAAAACTCAGTGCAACGGAAGAGGGACCTTCAATTCAACACACAACTGCCCTGCGCAAAACCTCTCAAACATCTTGAGATTTTTTTTTTCTTTTTTCTGCCGACACATCTTCAGTTTGGATAAATAGCACAATTGCCGTAAAATCAGCCGTTCCCGAAGCACCTTCAGTTTGGATAAACAGCACTGCGTCGATGCCGACTGGTTATCTATCCAAGTCTCGGTCGAGAAGGATTTTCGAATCCTTATTGGCAGAGGTCATCTCATTAGCCTTCTCGGCGAAGTGAGATGTTACCAGGTTATTACATTCAGCACTCTGGGAGCCGAATTTGATATTGAACTTTGCAGAACTAGCAGCCTTGTCTTCAGGCTCGAGAATCCAAAGGCCGAGATTTGTTCCTTCCTCGGCCGTAATGGCAAGATAAAGAAGTCAGCAACGCGCTTAACGCAACATCAACAAATTTTACTCCTCAGCCGAGCTAGGCCGATAAGTTGGCACGCCCCGCATTCAACCGAAGGACGCAGTTAGCTTATTAGTTACTTGGCCTGCGCGTCACGTAGGCTTTGTAATTTTTAGGGTCAACATAAACACATGTTCAATATCAGTTGATCACACAATCTTTCAACCTTCAATCATCCTCTATATTCACCAATCTTTCAACTTTCAAAGCATTTAGGTAATAATTTTAAGTGTACTATGTTGGTATTTTCTAGTAATAAATTTAAATGTCTTCTTATGCAAAGTATTTTGTCTAGTATGTTGGATAAATTATTGAATGAAGATTGAATTATTGAAGGCATCTATTCTATATCAAAGTGTGGAATAATAAGTACAATGAAGGCATCTAGATTAATAGAAACAATAATTAATAAGCCATAAATTTAATACACACGACAATT